TTCTGTAAATGATGATCACTTTGTCCTCTGAGCTGTGTTAAAGCCCACATTCACCCTTCCTCTGTGGGTACAGGTATTCTACCCTCGTGCTATGCCTTCTAATGCCGAATGGGAAGTTTGGTACGCTATTACTAGTGGCAGCAGAAAGCGAACTCACTTTGTTACGACTTCAATTCCGATTTTCAAAATACGTGCCAGACTACTGCGGAGTGAATTAAGGACACAGTTCGCCTCTTGGCCTTTAATTTCTCCACAACAGAAGCTTGCAAGTGCCATCTTCGTTTGGCATCCATCCCATCCATCTAAAGTGAGTAACAGCTAAATCAATATCACCGTAAACCACCCAGAAAGTTTTGCTTTCCAAATCCATGTATGGCTGTCTGCGATGGCTTTAAGGTAAAACTCCACATGGAACTGCATTCGGCCCCGTCTTCGATGCTACACAATTGTTTTAGGAAAGCGCTTCGAAGTCTATCCCAAACATACATGATATTTAGTTGACTTTCCGCCTATGGTTCGTGGAGTTTAGCTGAGGCTGACTTCAGAAACAGTCGAGGCTGCTGAAAGGGTTAACAACAATCCCTCGAATCATGGCAGGTGACGACTGGCTTACGGCATTAGATATGTTGAAACATAATTGGAGATCACTTTGATGGTCATCTAACCCTTATCGGGTAAAATGGCTTTAAAGTCCTACTAGAGACCACTTCTGTCCTTTCTCTTTAAGCAAATGCTACGCAAGGTTTTATGTTCCCTTAAGCAGTAAATAAACAGGTAACCTGGCATATTCATTAAGTTCTTGTCTACTCTAACCTCAAGTGCTCCTTATCGCTTACGACCAGCGTACAAGCGCAGAGGCTCCAGTGTGTATCAAAATCTAGCATCTGCTCATCGAATATATGCCAAGCCATAGCTTTATAACGACGCAAACCAATCCCAAAGGGTGGATTTCTTAAGAAAATTGGTAGGAAGATTAATCACTATATGCACTATTAAAGATTGAAATTGAAACCCAAAAACAGAACATTTGGAGTATGTTTACAATAATATGAATTTAACAACTTATGATTTTCCAAATTGAAATCTTAATGGTTATACTATATGAGGTATCTTTCTTTTTATATAAAATCTGAGTGGCGGTGAGTGCGTGTAAGTGATGTTTATTTGTATAAAAGTTTGATGAAATTTGGTTTGTAGGTCATGATTAACCAATTGTGACCAAATATCCACTTGACTGTAAGGCGCGCTCTTCGTACAGGAATTGTGACCTGCGCGTTCTCACGGATTTTACAATAGTCCTGCCATTTGCATTGTAAATGCACGAATCATCTTCAGGATTACCTATTACTGTCAACATATCTACCATTGGGTATTGCAGTCCAAAATATTCGCCTCAGTATCGTGTAGGGAAGTCATGTTTAATTCATCGGTTTATGAGCCGCTCCCAGTACACGGAGGACCACCTCTCTGTAATAAGCAATTCAGACTATTATGGGAGTATAATAGCTGGAAACCAATGGATCTACTGGGGTTCTAAAATAATTCAGCATGAATCAAAGAAATATCGTTTGAGAATAATCGAACAATGCGATTTTATTGATGATCACTTATTCACTCCATTTGGAACCGAACCCTATATAGATAGGTGTTTTACGAACCTGATTCGCGTCGAATCACCAAAAACAGCCTACGTTTGTAAGGAACAAGTTGGGAACGAGTGGAATTATTCTCGTGAAATCCTTGAACCGTGTGATTTTGTGGTCGATGTCTTTGTTATCGTGTTGGATATTACTCTCACAGGTGAAGCTGCACTTTCTCAACAAAGGTTTCTTAAAAGAGCCATAATGGAAGTGCGAAAACGGAAAATTCCTTTTGTATTTGCCTCGTCAAAACACGATTGTGCTGCCTCCCCTGAAAATAAGGAGTTCGTTAAGTATTTGCTGCACAAAGGATCGAAGTCGCTAAAGAAGATTCGATACTGTAGGGTAGAAACGTCGGCTAGACTTGATGTTAATGTCCAACAAGCTTTTTTATCGGCTGCTCTCTTGTGCTCTTCGGCATCGAACGAAATCAATTGCAAATACTTTCCTTATTCACCACCACCTAGTGATTGTCCCCAACCCTTAATAAATTCCAGCGTTCACTTCCGGTAAGCCATCGGACGTTATGATTAAAACCTGAGTAATTGTATTTTCGATAATGTCTTTCATGATCTAGACATTCAGAACGTGCTGGCACTTTGGTTTCCATTTATGCGGACGCCAACTCGATTACACTCGATAGGGACAGTTTCCGACCGATTCCGCGTCTTGTCAATCGATTAAGTTTAACAGAGAATGTGACCTATGATCTGCCTGTAGAAGGAAAAAATCTACCTCCAAACCTAGCATGTTGTCAAATACCGATTGCTATTTCTTCGGACTCCTCAGTATGCGGCCCTCACATTGTTCTTTGCTACAATTATGCAGTGGCTAGTAACATCGTAGTTTCTTATTTCAGAGACAACCCTCACTGCGTCAAAAAAATTCACACTTTCCCGAAGCCCCGTCATTAACTGGTGCTTGCACTTCACACGTATGCTATCGGACAATCAATTCGAATTCCAAGTTGCCACTACTGCAACTACCAACGCCATTACAATCCCGATTGACGCACATCGTCCATCAGCCTCACACCGCAGCCATTCCAGTGGCTCCCACTACAACTATAGGAACATTTGAACCCATTCAGGGGAATACACCTCCCGAAAGTTTCTCGACATTGCCCTCAAAGCCTCTTCTAATGCTTTTTCTTAGTGGACCTGGAGCTACAAAATTGAAGGGGGTTTTGCAGCGACAATGCTACCGCGATAGGTTCCACTTAGCGGTAAGCTTAAGTGTGCATAGTTTGAACAGAAGAGGTGCAAGTTCCTTATTTTATTTATTTTACACTTATCTTATTGATAACTCTAAGCCAAAGTAATGCAGACTCTCGTCGTGGGCAAACGTCTATCCGGTTGTCAGCATATACGCTCATTTCCTTTCTCAAATGAAGATTTCGCAGCATCGCCCGATATGATATCAGTAAAGCGAACAATCATGCGTATTTGTGTGTCTATGTGTGTATCTATAGGGGTTAGGGCTGGTGTGAGAGAGCAAGAGGGCAGATAAAGAGCATGTCGCATGCCGAAATCACATTTGGCATACTTTTGCTTGCCAAGTGTGTGACGAGGGAGTGAGATGACCTTAGACATTCTTTCAAAATCCTTTGCTCGATTTGCACCACCACGTTACCTCTGCCGAGTTATGCACTAACCAATTTATTTCTTTACCCCTTTGAGCTTCATTTATTCATTTGAAACATAATTCTGAACCATCATTTGCCTATTGCACTTTCTTACTTTGGTTGTGCTCTCATTGACGTGCCTAAAACATTAGTTTCAAATCCACTAAAGTGCCTATTGTTACGTGATTCGGTAACAGGAAAGTTCCAAATTCTGCGAAAAGTAAGACTGTAAATGCGCGTGTTACATTTTGATAATTGAATGTCGCACATTACGCTCTTGCATATTCCTACTCGAATCTAGGCAAATAAGGGTCGGAAATCGCTGTTTCCAGTAAAAATTAGTCAAACGGATGGTACTGAAATTTGTGATTTTATTTTATATAATTACTTTATTTAGGATAGGATAAGGCCACAA